GTCAACCCTTTCCCTCCCTAAAATCCAGAAAGGAGTATGACCAAAACCAGTATAGCTCAACACTATCCCATATGTGTCTCAACCTCTTGACTGTAACTTAAAAAATAATCTGTATTACGCCTTTGCATATTATTAAATAATTTCTAAAATAATTATTACTAAAAACTGCTCAATAACCCTGACCTCAGCTGTGCTAGGTAACAGTCATAAAGTCTTCCAATTCCCACAAAAAAGAAACCACACGCAGAGCAAACCAACCAGAAATGCCTCTTCTGGGACTATAACCAACTTTAAAAAACACTGCTCCGAAATGTGCTATGGATAAAAAGCCTGATAAACGCACTTTAACTCAGCCATATTTAAATACAGAGCATGACCTGGAAACAAACAATTGAAATTTTGCTCCCAGTTTCCTCTGTCACAGCAGCTTCTTTGCAAGAACCCCAGAGACAGAAATGGTTTTCTTGTACCTATGCAACTGAAATTTTAATATTCCTATTCTTCTCAGAGTACAAAAATCCTAAATATTTGCAAAACCTACAGGCTCTCATGCAGCTAACGACTGGTAATTAAGTTACTCTTTCACCAGTCTCATCTCCTTCATTCATAGCCTGTGAGGGCACTCTCACAGGCCACAAAGTATTTGAACATAAGCTGCTTTCAGTCTCTTATTTCATCTTCTACACTTTTTTTCAAAATGAAAGTCAATGATTTGAAGTTTTACAACTCTGGCATTACTCTTTGACGCACAGGCTCTTAGTTATTAATATGAAGTACAATAAGTTCAAGAGACATCCACACAGTAGGGCAGCCTTTTGAGTTGATTAGGAACAAAACCTTATCCTTTCATTTTCCCTAATTCCACACGCATACTGGCCATCACGCTGTTCAGCACGCTGCAGATTGATCTCTTTTGCTCCCTCATGTTTTACATAGAATTTAAATCATGAAGCTGCTAATTGCATATGTGGGAACAGAAACTGCAATCCAGCAAATGCTATGCTGTTCCCATGCTATCTATGATCCTGGACCCTGTTTCATTTACTCGGAAGTTACTACATTTAAAATTGAATATCCTCCAAGTTCAATAGGTAGCATCATGAAGCCATACACCAAATTTTCCAAGTTACATTTTCTCACAGTGAAGCCTCTTAAAAATGATGGCTGAATTTTACTGAGAGAGTTTAGCTACAGAAAATATATTTACAAGGCCACAGGGGCTGCACAAGCCTCCATAAGGTTTTAATTCCCTACATATACTAAATGTAGAGTATTCAAAATAACCTGAAAGAATATCTAAGCTAGTAGAGGGAGCTTCCTTACTTTGCATGAGGAAATGAGAGGAATGGACAACTAGAAGCAAATGGAGGCTCAGGCTGCAGAGGGACAAGGCTGTCCTCCTCAGAGTGGTAGCCCTGCAGGCTTTCCTTTTTCTGCAGGGCTCTGGCAGAGAAGCAGCCTCTCCACAGAACTTTCATCTCAGGACAAAGACTGACCAGTACAAAGCACCTACAAAGAAACACACCCGCTGTCCACTCATCATGTCAGAAGGGACAAGCTTACCTTACCTGCCCAGACTAGTGAGCAAAACTGTCACAATTTTGTTTTGAGTTAAGATGTAAATACGCCAGAAAGCACTGGTTATGAAATCCCCAGAATTCTTCAGTTGAAGGTGTGAGGAACAATGAGAAAGGAAATGTATTTAGAAATTGCTCAATAATCATCAATTTATGCTCATTTTCATTTTACCGTTCCTTGCATAAACTTTTTAATTTACTCTTGACCTCGTATCTTCTCATTTTTAGGACCTATTTATCTCCAGAGGATGGATGCAAGATGTCCATCAGCGCATTTAATGAAAAACATTTCTTTCAAGCAAGGCACAAAATTTAGATTTATTGATGTAATTTGATTAATCCCAATTTTTGTTTTACATTAAGTACAAAAAACAACTTGAATGTAAGGTGTAAATACAATTTCCACAAAGTAGTTCAATGAGATTTAAAATCAGTTATGTGTATCCAGAACCATGAAGCACAACTAAAAGCAGCCCAGGATATACAGATTGCTTACCATAACTGCTGAAAGAGCCCATAACTTATAAATACATTTAACAACCTCCAGTAATAAGTTACCTGCTTTCTAATCTTTCATTTGAAATGCATTTAGCAACTCTGTACGTAACAAAGGAAGCATTAAAGAATGAGAACTGCAGACAAGTTTTACTCAAGCTATCCAAGGCCTAAACAAAATGTACACAATCAAAAATTAAATAACAGAACAATGACTTAAATATTTGGTTGAACATTTCTAAGAACATAAATGCTAAGATAATATAGAAAAATAGTAACAGGTTCAAAGTTAATTACTTCTCAAAGAACTTATTGTGTACTGTAGCTGCCTGAAATATTTTAACAATTATAGAAAAATCATATTTCCAAATTTGGTACGTTCATTTTTTCTAGATGACACACACTTAAGACAACCATCCATGACCTTATTTACAAATACAAGCTTATTAATTTTAAAATCTGTATATTAAAAAAACCAAAACAAGACCCAAACAGTTTTGGCACTACCCATAAGGCAATGGATGATATGTACCCAAGATAATAAATCACATAGCGAAAACATAACTGGAAGAAAATGACCTTTAACTTAAAGACACTGTGAGACTTTAATTACAGTTAAAGAGGAAATTAAAAAAACAGCACTCACAAGTCACTAAAACACCCTATCTGAAGATTTTTTCCTCTATGCAACAGGAAATTACTTCAACCTGTGAAGTCACTGTGCCATGTCTTGTGAGAGAGCCTTACATTTCTATAGTTATTATTATCAAACTAGCTTTATTACCAGAAAAAAAAGTTTAAGGAGAAAGATTTTACTTAAGTAAGCAGAACAAAAAAACACGACTCTGAAGTCCAGGCTTTGTTAGCTGTCTACAAAATAACCCCAAAGTTAATTCTGCCAGTTCACTGAGTAAAGACCAAACTTTTTTTTACTGATATGAACGGTTTTAACAACTTCCTTTTTGCATTTCCATCAGCTTCAATGATAGCTGAACTTTAAAATTCAGTTTCTCATTGCTGCCACATTTGCACTGCATACTGCAAACCCAGGTTTTATAAACTGTGGATTTCATTTAAATTTAAAAAATAATCTTTCCATTTATCTTAAATTTATAAAAATTTTTTTTTCAAACCTTAAGGCAAAAAACAAGTTTTATTGGTTATGTTTCCTTTAAGTCTCAGCAAGTATACGAGTCTGTTTAAATATCAAAAAACCTAATGCCACATACGTTATTACCAACAAAAGTAAAGAATAAGGCAGCATGCACCCTTAAGATGAAAAGAAAATTTAATTTTACAAGATGTTTAAATAATACAAAGGCAAAATGTGTCTGTGTCCTGTAAGAGTATCTTCATAAACCATGGAAATTTTAGAGGACATCAAGTTACTAAAATATTCCATTCAACGTTTATACAAATACATTACTACAATTTTAAGTTTACATACAATCAACAGACAATTCCATGTTAACTAATTACTTAAATTTACAAGACAAACATAAATAAAGCTGTTAAAACAGGCAAGTACAGTACTGATCTATCAGTCAGCACAATGTGTTTTTTCCTTCTTTCATCTCAAAAAGAATTGGTTTAGAATTGTGCGAAATCGTTCTCCAAACCTAGAAATAAAATAAAAGAGAATTAAGTATATCTATGCAGGTTTTTACACAGCGTGACTAAGTCCTCTCTCCTGACATGTAATTTACCATTTAACCACCTTTTGTCTGTTCTCAGAAGAGGCCACAGTCTTTAAGGTTATTTTTAATAATGACATCGGTTACAGCATCGAACACAAACTGCACGTTTTTTGTGTCTGTGGCACACGTGAAGTGAGTGTAGATTTCCTTCGTGTCTTTCCTCTTGTTCAGATCTTCAAACTGACACTGAATGTAGGCAGCTGCTTCTTCGTACGTGTTTGATCCTAGGAGGAGAGAATTGCTCAGTGAGCAGGTTTCAAAGTGACAAAGAAGGAGATACTGTCTTCACAGGACATAGCTCTTTGGAAACAGTTAACCTACACTTGATGAGGAATAATTCCACAAGTAATTAAGTTACTAAAAATACATCTTGAAGGAAACCCTTTGGACACATTTTTAAGAATAAAAACTAAAGACTCCATGATCTTAAAGGTCTTTTCCAACCTAAGTATGCTATGATTCTATGACTCAGTTCGATTCCAGCTGCAGAAAGCAGGAAGTCTTTCCGTTTACTTTAGTTGCAGATGAAGCAAGTCATTTATGACCCATCACTGCTCCCAGATGAGGATATTTTGTCTCCTTCATTCAAGCTATTCACTTCCATTTTTTTTTTTTTTTTAAACAAACTTTTGTAAAATGTTTCCGTTTGTCCCCAAGGATGTTTGGCATACATATTTCTCCTACATTTTTTTCCTCCACTGTGCTATTTTATCTATAATGGATTAGTCTTTTATGTATCATTTTCATTATAACTAAAAGGCTAAGACTTTTTAAAACTAAAAATGAGGTTCAGGCAAGGCCAAATGCAGGGTCCTGCACCTGGGCTGGAGTAACCAGCACTACCAGTATAGACTGGAGGAGGGTTTACTGGAGAGCAGTCCTGTGGAAAGGGACCTGGGAGTGCTGGTGGATAAAAAAAACTGGACATGAGCCACCAATGTGCAGCAGCAGCCCAGAAGGCCAATCACATCCTGGGCTGCATCCAAAGAAGCGTGGCCAGCAGATGGAGAGAGGTGATCCTGCCGCTCTGCTCTGCCCTGGGGAGACCTCACCTGGAGTCCTGTGTCCTGCTCTGGAGCTCCCAGCACAAGAAAGATGTAGACATTGGAGCGAGTCCAGAGGAGGGCCACCAAAATGACTGGAGCAGCCTGCCAAAATGACGGGAGCAGGTCTCCTGTGAGGATAGGCTGAGGGAGTTGGGACTGTTCAGCCTGGAGAAGAGGAGGCTCCGGGGGGGGCCTTATAGCGACCTTCCAGTACCTGAGAGGGGCCTACATGAAGGCAGGGGAGGGTCTGTTCAAAAGGATTTGCAATGATAAGACAAGGAGTAATGGTTTTAAACTAGGAAAGGATAGATTTAGACTTGATACTAGGAAAAAATTATTTAAGAGTGATTGATCATTGGAATGGACTGCCTAGAGAGGTAGTGGAGGCTCCCCACCCTGAAGTCATTCTAGGTCAGGGTTAACAGGGCCCTGGGCGACCTGACCTAGGTAGAGATTTCTCTACTTGTGTAGGGAGGTTGGACCAGATGACTCCTAGAGGTCCTTTCCAGCCTAAAACATTCTATGCTTCTAAATCATCTGCTTTTAGTAGATATTTCCTGAATAAGGCACCTACTTCTCACATGTATGTTCACTCCCTGTTCAAATGAACTCTCATATCTTCAGGGATTCCTGCTAGTGAAAAAAATTACATCTAAGTAGAGAAACAGGAGGACATCATGAAAAAAGATGGCCTAAATAAATTAGGAAGAAAATAACTGCAGCAGTAACATGTAAATGATACCAGGGGACCATCATTATTACATCTGGTTTGAAAGATGAATGTGACTTAGGACTATTTTATTTGTGATCCATAAAAAGAACCTCCTTATCTTAAACTCGTCCTGATTTGTGCGTGAGGTAATTTAACCAAAAATTATTTGACAACTGTACCCTCCTCCCAATACCTGCATATTCAGGGTAGCAAATAGTGAGAGGACTCCTTTTGATTTTTTCTTCAAAAAGATCTTTCTTGTTCAGGAAGAGAATAATAGAAGTGTCTGTGAACCATTTATTGTTGCAGATACTGTCAAATAGTTTCATACTTTCATGCATCCGATTCTGTAATTGGAAAAAAAAATCACATATTTGTGTATTATCAGACTTCAAATGTAGAATCAGGATACACATTTTCCATTAATTTGAAATCAGAGAAGTTACAAAACTAAATTCCTAGCATGCAGAATTACATATTACCACAGGGAAATAGAGGGAGCCTAGATCACTACAAAGAATACTCTCACAAGTAGGGTTTAAGCAGCCACTTTTTTTCCTTCTGATTTCCAGGTTTAAGCTGTCAAATATTCTAGAAATTTTTGGTGTTTTGACATTTTACAGTACAGATATTCCACAAGAGTTGCCAAGTTACCTGATTTTGTCTTATGCTGATTAGATCTTCTGGAAAATGAAAATTAAATATTTCAGCTAGCTCAGATTCCAGCATAAGAGAAAAAAAAAACAAAAAAACAAAAAAACAAACTTATCCAACAGGTAAGTACTTTGGCCATGCTCCAGTCATTTAAGTAGCAGGATGCTTAGCTGTGACCTTCTTTGACTACATTTCACTTGAAAGGGTTTTTCTATTTCTCTTTTCTCTTAGACTATATTTTGTAAGATGTTGCAGAACATGAAGAGCACAGAAGTTTGTTAATGATTCACACACAACAGATAAGCACTTTAGACCACACAGTAAAAAGCATGCACTCTGTGCATACTGATATGGGAGAAGTAACAACTTGAAAGAGGGGAAGGAGTAGAGGAAGTTGGAAGGGAGAAAAGAGCAAAATTTCTGCAGCTAAGGAAGACATCAAAGAAACAGAAAGGAGAAAAACCCTAAGGACGGAGGAAGGAAAGGAAAAAGCATGGTAATCCACAACATCCAAGCCCCACACATCTTATAACGCACCAATACACTGAAAGATGTATCTACAGCATTCCTTTCAAGCCTATTTAGTTTCTATCCAACAACTATTCCCTTCTTCAACATTGAGGTACTTGCCATTTCCTCATCTTCAGCCAAGACCAAGTCATAATCACTTAATGCCACACAAAAGATAATTGCTGTAACACCCTCAAAGCAATGAATCCACTTCTTCCGCTCCGATCTTTGGCCTCCAACATCAAACATTCTGCAAAAGAGAAGCAGTGCAAAGCACAGAATGAACTTTGGACTTTCTAGCTTTCTGAATGTTAGCCAATGAAACTTCAACATATCAGCTGCATAAGTCTGATCACTAAACATAAAAGGCATAAAAATCTGCAACATTTATTACTACTTAATGTCTCAGTATTGAGATAAAATCCAAATAAAATTCATAATTTACAATACTATATTTCAGTAACAAATTGTAATCTATAAAGAATAAAAACATACAGTTAGCTTTACTAAATGTAAACTAAAGTGTTATTCAACTTCTAGTCCAAATGAATAAGTCTAGAACAATAGAAAATATTGATTAACAATACAAGATTCTTTAGAGCAGAGCTGTGTCTGTTTTAATACTTGGAAATAATGCAATACTAAGGAAGCTGGATACAAGTTAGCACTGACTTTGTTAATGTTGTTTTAGTATTCTGAATGTAAAGACATAGAATTTAATTTCCAATTCTTCAGATTTAATCTGGAATCTCTAAATCCTGGTGAATTTCAGCTCCTTTCTCTCCCTAAACCAAAATGCAACTTGATCTATTTTTCAACTGTCCATTTTTAAATGGGATATTTTAAAGAGTCACTAAAATTATTTTCAGCATTCCCTTAAAAACAAAAGTATTATATAATAACAATAATCATTTTCCTCTCTGATAAACGCTGCTAGTCTATGTTCCATCATTCAAAAATTTAATTTTCCCTCCTATTTACAAGCAAATGCAAATTTCCTCCTTTTAAAAGAGACATGACTTTTTAAACTTGTTTCTATGCTGTCACAAAAAAGAAGCTTAGAATTCAGTAGGTATAAAAATGTTCAAATGGGAAGAGGAAGAGAGAAGAGAAAGAACAGAGGACAGACCAGTTCCTACATTCTCCGTGCTGTAAGTAGTAGAATGGCCAGCTCTATCATGAAAGCCTTATTTGGCTTAAAGAAGTTATATGAACAGGGAGAAAATCCAGACCAGAAAAGCAATTAAGATTCATAGTTGTAATTCTTGTAAACATATTGCAGCATGGTCTGAAGTCATTCAGAAACACATTAGTAATAAGGCTATCCCATTGAGGGAATTTTGGTAGAGAGCATAGCACATAGGTTTGAAGAACAAAAAAATCTCATCCTTCAAAGGGCAGAAGAGAATACAGGACAGAAGAAATAACTGAGAAACTGAAAAAGAAAATTGCTTCTTCTATCTTTTTTGTGCACACTAGGGGCTAAGGAACATGAGAAATAAAATGCTTTATACTGATGGCAGTACTGCAGTATCAAGAAAACATGGCACAACTTCCCTATTATTAAAAAAATGTAGTGAGAAGTATTCTTACAAAGAACAGTAAAAATATGTAAAGAAAATAGGCCTGCACAATAAGTTTTGGATGATTTGACTTGTTCAGACTATTTTGGCAGCATGTGTCCTAGGAAGGGAGGAAAAATGCAGAACAGTCAACTTCTAGAAGACAAAAGAAGTATAACTTGCAGTTTGTATTTGCTGATATTGATTTTAGCCACAAATGTTTGCTTCAGTTGAGAATAGTCTCCCTGCCAGTCGTATATTTCACAAGTGATGTTTGTCTCATTTGGAGGGTGTCTGTCCAACAGAGCACCTAACAAACTCCCAGTTCTTTATTCAAACCATCATTTTGCACTCATCTTTAACATTTTTAGACACTAAAAAGCTATGGCTGGATGAAGTTTTGGCACCACAGTTACACAGTGAACACCTCAACAAACAACAAGAATCTGATGGATTGTTTCATGTAATGAAGCTTCTGTGTGATATCAGTAAAGAGAAATACATATATAAAGAAAAAAAACTATTTGGTAGCCAAAATTCTTAAAGATAAGGCTGCAAGCATCTTTCAGAAAAATAAGCCATTCTGAACAGAGTGGCCTTAAAGTTCGTAAGCTTTCCAGCTGCCCTGTTAGAAGTCATACTGATGCCTGTTAGGTCACAGTTACAAAAGACTGAAACACCCATAAAAGTTGTTTCAAATGCAGATAAATTTTAAAAGGTTGTGAAAGAACGATTTACAGATTCCACCTCCCAGTATGGGAGAGAGTGTACACAGGGTTGTGTGCAAGCCCATTTTTTACGCATTTGCCTCAGGTGCTAAAATTTAGAGTACTGCCCATGGTCTGACTACTCAAAAGAACCACATTTTTTTTATGCAAGGTAAGTCAGAGTCTACAATGAACTAAAAAGAAATACAAGGCAGCGCTGAAAGAACTGGTTTTTAACTGCTAAATCTACCCCTCTTATCTAAAGAGTGACAGCATTAGAGAAATGCTTTAATGACTTTCCATTATTTAAAGAAAACAGACTTCTCCAGTGAGATTACAAGGTGGCTCTGCCACATTAAGACAAATTACTTCAGTGAACCACATGTAAGGCATTAAAGACACTTCTCCAGTCATCACTCTAAGCTACTTTATGTCGCTATTTTTAGAAATCTTCAAGTGTTCTGAGTTGCTAGATTTAAAAAAAAAAAAAAAAAAAAAAAGTAAAAATAAGTAGAGAAGGAAGCAAAGTAGAATCAAAACAAACACACTTTGCTTTCTGATCAAAACCTGTCAGGAACATCATAACCTCTAACGAGGTCTTCTGCTTGGGTAATACTATCCTGCAAGTGACAATGCTCATTGCCCATTTAACATTCTACTGTGCAATAATGCCAGCTGAAAAACTCTCCAAAGATTATTCCTGTTAGAATTTAAAAACTTAAAAGGATTCCTTAAGAGTGTTCCTTACCTTCAGAGATACCTTTAAGAGGAAGCCATTGGATATCACCCTACATAATTGAAGTCAGGCATCTACTTCTATTTAGTTCCCAATTAGTGATGGCTGTATCTATAGGAAGATTTTTTTTTTACTTGTATATCTTAGTAATTAATAACTTAAATTGTTACTTCTGCCAATTCTAATGCCTCTTTTTTTTTTTTTTATAATTTTGTACTAAGAGCTGCATTTTCTTGAGAATTTTTTCAATCATCATCAGAACATTTCTACAAACCAAGGTGTTCTTTGAAGAAAAAAAAGCAGTGTACCAGCAGACTCAGCTTCTCAAACAGTCTACAGAAACAGGATGAAGATGACTTGCTATTTGCACTTTAGACTGAATCAATAATCAAAGCTATGCTGAGCATTTTATAGAAAAGGCTGAAATGAGGCTCAACCTGAAAAAATCTAAACACACAAAACAACAAAGAAAAAAAATGAAGTGCATAATACTGCACAGCTAGTCTTATTTATGTACCCTCACCTTGACATAAACTAAAGGCTTAAAAGGCTTGATTATCTTAGTTCTTTTCAATGTTACATTAAGAGCATAGTTCTTCAAGCCCTTCCAGTAACTCATTAAGCCTATCTCCTCAGCTGCCTAAAATTTAAACACCTGCTGTAGAGATGTTTAAATGTACAACATCACAGCTAAAATACTTCCAAAGGCCTGTCTTCACATTACACATTTTATAGCATTGGAATCACATGGTCCTTGTAATGGGCTTTATAGGACTGTAGTCATATAGTCCTTGTACGAGTCATAATAATCACTACAGACTCCAAATAGCTACCTTAAAAATCCATTGAGAGTGTAAAGGATTTTAAACCCACCTACAACAAGGAACTGAACATGAAGCATTAGGAAGCGAGTGAGAAAGCAGATAGCTCCTCAGAATACTGAAGACCTCTCCTGAGGCTTGGCTAAGGACTACTATCCAAGAGATTAATTCCCTTTTACCAGCTATTTTACAGATTTTATTTTTGTATACTGAAGCCCTGAATCCACATAAGAAAACATATTTCCACAGTATGAATGGCCCTGAGGCATCCATATTACAGTACTTACTACACATTTGCATGGAAAAAATATTTTCCATGAAGATACTAAACAAAAACATTGCACAGACGTGCTGACAACAATCTCTGTACAATCCAAGTGCAGGTGCAATGTGAGTTTTACTGAGTTTTCCACTTATTTCTCCTGACCAGTAGGAGGTAGAATATTATCACATTTATACTATCTATGCTTTCACCATGAATGTCTCTGGACATAAAATATTCAAAGTATTAACATTGTTTTGTAAATTCCACACCACAGGACACAAGTCACATTCCTTCATCACTGAATAAGGTACTACCTTAAAGTACAACAGGTATTTGAATTCACTTCTTCAGGAAAAAGCATTAACTTCTACACAACACCCGCAAACACTTACAAGCTTCCAGGTCTCCAGCTGAATTTAAAGGGAAGAATTTGATAGAACAGCTATTTAACACAGCAGAAATTGAATATTTTGAGATTTACATATAAAATATATTTACAAAAGTCTTCCAGTAAAACCAAAGCATTTTACTTAATATCTGCACATTTATCCTGAATTATTACAGGAGTTCCAATAACTCCCACATCCCTGCAGAGAGCTGAGCCAACCATGAGGAATTTCTTTTCGAAGAAAAGGGGAAAAAAAAAATCAAAGTTGTGTTTAGACGAATTTGTTAAACTGCATCATTGGAAGTCCACCTTCTAGAACTTTACAGAAACTATAACAGACAGATGAACATGCAGCATGTTTTACATACTTAAAATGAAGATCTTTGAAAGTAAAGTGAGTTTCCACTATTCCTGTAGTTTTCACTCTAGTCCTGAGAACGTCCTGTTGGGTTGGAATGTAGCTGGTTTGTGCTATCCTGTCCAAGTCATTCAAGTAACTGAAGGTAAAAAAAAATACTGCTTTCAGTTATTCATAAAATAACTACAAAGAATTACAGAAGTTCTAGGTCCATTCATTATATAGTGCTTGACTTTTATGAAACATCCTTCTCCAAGATAAGACAAAAAACGTTATTCCCCTCAATTTTTAAGTGTTTTTTGAAATAGGCTTTAGATACACAAATATATTTAATCCTAGAAGAAAGAAAACTTATGGAATTGACACCACTACAAAGAGCTCTTCTTTTGAAATTCCAAAATGCAAACGTGATTCCACATGCACCAATGTTACTTGCTCTAGAACACCACCTTTGTAACTAAAATGACTTTGAACTATACTCAAAGCCCAAAATTATACTGGATTTGATAACAGGTAAGAAGAGAACAACTCATTGTTTGTGCCAGAATTAATATGTTTAAGAAAATCATTAATACAGAACAATTAATTTTCTACTGAGAATTTGTAACTGCACACACATTTTACAATAGTGTATTTCACTGCTGAATTTCTTGTGATGCAGGCCAGCAAGTCCAGCATTTCTAAAAACTATATAAGTCTTAAGTCAAGAGATCTACCATTGTGAGCTCAGCTTGTTGCCAGCTACCCTCTTTACCGTTAAAATAACTTCAGTGAACAAGCAACAAACATGCTGGAAGTATCAACACAGTTGTATCCCATACAATTTGATCACACTTCCATTTGTTCAGCATGCCTACAGCATTACTCCAGCTGTAGTCTCACAGTTACCTCACCTGCATGTTGGTTGTTTATGTACGGTCACTCTGAAGAACAGAAGAACCTTATTTTAACAGAAGCAAAAACCAAATTCAAACTACAAATTAATTCATGATGATAAAGCTGTAAAACCTGCCCTGTAAGGACAGTACCACTGCTATGCCATTCTTTACCATCTTACCTCTCCCTCAGTGCACTCTGTTCCTTGGCTGGCTTACCATTACTTGTTCCCACCACATTTCTCACATCCTTGATTCCTAACTATTTTCTTTTTTTAATGAAGTACTTTAGCACAGAAGACACATCCTGATGGCTGCCTTTGCTCAACACATCTCTGACAGAGATGGTTAATTAACAGAGAAAATGCAGCAGTGTTGAACCATAGGAGAAACTCCATTATGAGCACAAAAGTAATATCCTTGGTAATACAGATTCACATCAAGTAATCAAATTTCCTGGACACGTTCAGATGTTGGACAGGTACTTGAGTCATGTTTTTATAATAAAAATGCTATTAAAGCACCTTAAAGCAATTTTTTCTTCAAGAGGATGAAACAACTGGTCTAAACACAACTCAATTTCATAATCACACTATACCTCTTCCCTCCCAACCTTGTGGCCTAGTTAGAGGATTTTGACCTAAGTAGACAATATCTTTCTACAGATACTTCTACATTTTCCATGCACATTTGAGCACAATTCCTAAAAAGATGGTACTTGCCCTGTATTCCTTTAGCTACCATTTAAAAGACAAAATCTTGTTTGTCATATGGTACTTACTAGGCAGCAGAGTCATTCAGCTGATATTCTCTAGATCTGTTGAAACAAGCTTGAACTCCACTGTCTTTCCATAGTCTCTTGATAACTCCAGCAAGCTCTGCAGTCATAAATCCTTCTTCTGCTGCTCCAGCTAACACAAAGAGTTGACGAGCGTCATCCTTTAGGATGTAAACAGAAAGTGGAGAGAAAAACAGTGAGAAATACAACAAAAGTATTATCACCCAACAACTACACTCAGCAAAGCAGTTTCTTTCTTAACCTGGTAAACGTGAACTTAATCAGACCAAAAAAAAAAAAGTGATGAAAACCAACTGGTTTTAGTGTTCTACATAGGATATTAATTCCCACATTTTTCAACAGAAAAAGACTAGTAAGCCAAATCTCTCATTAGCTGATAAAGCTTCCCCTGATCTATTAATAACTTAAAACTAAGCTTCTATGGACAGAAGTAGTAACATTTTGTGTTCAAGTCTAAAGTTAACCTTATTTGCTAATCAAATACCACAAAAAAATAGAATGGTTACAACATATACTAGAACCTTCAGAAATGCAGATACATATTGATTGACTGAAGGAAGCATTAAACATTTAAGATTCAAACAACTGTGAAAATGACAAATGACCGTTTTTTCCTAAACCATGCATCAGGAAACAGAAAAATACTTTGTAAACCTTTCCAGATAAATCAGTTACAAATATCCATAATTACTCTGAGACCAAGTTTTCTTGCTAAAGTGGGATCAAGCAAACATCAAGGTTTTTAAGGGAGCAAATGCTGATTTTAAGACTATATATAATGATTGCTTTTAAGAGTGAACCTAATAGAGTACAGCATATCAATCCACCAGTCTCCTTCAACAGAATTTGACCAGTTGGCTTTCTTCATCCAATTATGACTGTGGAAAAATAACTCTGAAATGTTACATCTGTAAGCCACTGGAAAAAGAAGATAAGAGCTGGGTAGAGGAAAGATGTCCACATTAGCAGTCTCCTGTGGGTAGCTGCTTGACCTTGGTTATTAGCTGTGTGTGATCTAATGCCAAGGTATGTCAGCCAGAAAAATCAGCATACTTGTGGCTTGTAAACACTACCCACTGCATGTACTGTTTGTCCAGTAATTAAGAGAACAGATGATACTGGAAAGGAGGAAGGAGAAAAGAGACTTTAGGCACATCAGCTGGGAGCTGAAAGTATTTTAAGAAAGAAGGGGATTAAAAATGAGCAACCTATAAGATCATTCTCACAAAACATTAAGTGACGATAGACAAATCTGAAAAAAAAAAAGCTGGTTCTGTCACCTTTGCTGTTCAAACAAACTGAAAAAACCACACCACACATTTTCAGGATAAGCACAGAAAGTAGTGATTGTTCTAATAACAACATTACTGTAAACTTAAATAACCAAAGATTATGACAGCTAACAGGGAAATTGTTTACAGATGGATTAAGTAATATTGATATTCACAGCCTCAAAACAAAAAAGCTTGCAGTTCATCCATCTCAAGGCAAACAAAGATCTATCTACCTATATGTATACAAATGTAGTTAGTTATACATATGATCAGGTATTTGATACCTAGTTCAAAAAGTCTTTTGAAAGCTACAGTTAGTTACAAATCTAAAAATTAATATCTGTCAAATTAACAGAATACTAACTACTGCACATGCACAAGACAATTATGGACAACTAATAAAAATCCAATGGATTGCAATAATAACCATATAAAAGACCAGAGCAGTAAATATCAAAGGGTTGGACAGTCAGATCTCAGACTATAGCCTGAGAAATATGCCTGCAAATCCCTTTCAGGAAACCTGAATGATAATTCTGGTCTTCAGTATTGTTTGAGAACACAAAATGCCACATTCAGAAAGTGATCCACAGTCCTTTAAAGCACATTCACTAAACATCTCTCAAAACAGTTTCTACTTTAGTACTGAAACATCCTGTGGGACAACAGAAGGTACAACAATCAGATTGACCACTACTGAAGCTGGTGTCATCTGTGCTCCCTTGATTCAACAGCTTTAAAAAAGAAAACATTAACTCACTGCTTTACCATTAGTCTCATCACAGAAATAACTATCATTTCCTGAACAAACTTATCCCATTTAGAGGAAAACCCTCAAGAAATTGCCCTCAGAAATTTAAGAGTCTGAATGTAAGTCTTCATCAGGAGTTACAGTTTTAACCTTTTATTTCAGTGAAAAATGACAGAGTTACAATGTAATAGAATAAAATTTAGCAGTCTATACTGTAATAGTTGAGGACTAACCATACATAATTGTTTTTTAAAAGTGAGACATACAGAAGTTCTGAATTCCTTTTTTGTCTTTGACTTTACAATTGGCAAAAATCTAGTACTGACTTTTCATAGCAGTGTTGCTCTGATAAGAAATAGCAAGACCTCCCTAAGCACAAAGGGGTGGACAGATACTTTAATACTATCCTTGACAAAAGTTTGCCTCATCATTTATACAGCTCTCTGAAATTGAGAAACTCAGATGACTTTAAATGGATCATATATAAAATAGCCCTAAAAATCTTGTTAGTCATTTTAACTAACACCTAAATGTACTCCTCCTTTTTCTCTTACTATGTATTTAGTAACTTGCATGAGTCTACCATCTGCCTCTTTCCAACACTAACTGCCACACTCCAGCCAGGACACCACTACACAAACACTGAACGAACGTACAATAAGATACCGTTGCTGCCCTAGGAAACTGCTCTCAAGGCAAGACAGCAGCAAACATGAGAACAAATGCAGGGAGGAACAACCAGTGAAAATGAAGCTTTTACTAGTTATATTTAGAGCTGAAGGGTTCAGGCAGAATTAACTTATGTACATAAAATGACCAACAGAAAAAAAGATTAAAATTAACTAATAATTCACAACTGCAAATCAGATATAGACTCAAATACAACTTTGACCCACTTCATGTAATCTTATGAACATCTGACTTCCTTATGACAGCCATAAGTAATGCATCTCAAAGTCACTGAAGGTATACTCTAATATTTATAAATTGTTTTTTAAGCAACAATATCTTGAATTTAAGATATTGTCATGAGGACATAGCATTTCTTATTTTTCCAAGACCCAACTCTCCCCCAAACTGTAATTCAACCTCAACATAACGGAAAGAATTTAATTATGCCAAAATATCCTTCTGACTACCTTACATATGTATTTTAACATGTGAATAGCAAAAAAAAAAAAAATTCTTCCATCTTCCCTGCAAGACAGCCATAATGTGGCTAGTTCCTGCTTCAGAAACAGTACTGCTGAGCATTCCATATTCTGACATGGATTTCTATGGAAAGATAATAGAAGCCTGAACTATATGAACTTCGTATCCTGAACTATGTTTCAGTGCTATTCAAACAACCTTGGTGATCCATTTCAGCACTGGAGCACAGAGTGTATTCCTGTACCAGAGGACAAGCAATAACACTGAAGTAAGCATTTTACAGAGAGATTCAAAGCACCTAACCTCCTGACCAGATGTGGAGGTCATCAGTGTCACCACAGGTAGGAGTATAGGTTTAGGACTAGAGAAACAATAACCCAAAAGAATAATTTCTGCAGACCTGTTTCAATAGGTGGAATGGCTTAGAAAATGAATGGGCCTGTCAGCTGTATATCTAGGTATGTATTTCAATGCTCATCATCTCCTATTTCTTGGATTAAAATCCTCAGTTCCCACAGTACCATAAAAAAAAAGGGACAGCAGTAGAAGTGCTATGCCCATGTCTCTGCTGTGAGTGAAATTAAGTCCTCCACATGGGAAATCAGTATCAAACAAGATCAAGCAAAGAGGCTGGAAATGTTTTAGGCACCACAGTGCCTATGACCTAATACAGAAGTGCAGAGAGCAGCTAGATGCCTACCTGTTTAAGCTGTGTTTGAGGAACGTGAAGATACCTCACTTAAATTACTTACAGAACACAATATCCCCCAAGTCCACATAAATATAGATAAATGCATATTTTAAGTCTTGAAAAAAAAATAATCCTCAAGACTCATGTTTAGCTCTGCAAATTTGTTTTGAATGTGGAGAACTTTATCTAGAGCAAACAGTTGTTGTGAATCAACCCAGTGATCTGTAGGCCACCTTGTCACATAAAGATCAATGGCATTTAGTGTTCAATCAAACTTTGCTTCCTAAAAAGGTTTTTGGATATCGAGATTTTTCTTCAGGAAACAGTAATGGACAAAACCTGAAAATTTATATTTCAGCTGTATAACTACCTATGTATTTCAATACTTACAGCCCTGGTTGGATCACCAAAGTCTATCTTCAGTCTCCCCATTGCTCTAATGATGGCAATAATGGACTGAATGGTGTTACTGTAGACAACAGCTTTGTACTGTTTACATTCTTCTTCTGAATAACCAGCTTCATGGATAATCCTATGGAAGGAAAAAAAAAAATAAAATTCTCTATACAAATAAAAAAATATATTTCTCTATGACAGTATTTCACCATACTTACTTCATTTGTTTGACAATTGTGCTTTTCCCTGATTCGCCAGCTCCTGAAAAATAAATGCATTAAAATTCATTAGAGCAGACTTATTAATCTTTGCAAATATGTTTAGTCTCTACACTTCAAATGCCTGATCAATATAAGAACCTCCAATATTTAAAAGTTTCAATATTACAAAATGATTTTCGTATCAAAATTTAAGTGTCTTAATCTGGAAGTTTCAAACTCAAGACATTGTAAGGACAAATCATTACTCTCTAAAGCCTATACTTTTACAGAAGTGAGCTTATCTTCATACAGTGTGCTGGTGTTCCTAATGCAAACAATCAGTTGTTCAACTTCAAAAGGGTCTGAAGCTCAATTCCTATGATTCTATTGTTCCCAGAAAGCAAACTCTTCAGGACTGTTTCCCAATGCGGTCAAACATCTGCCTCCAAATGGGAAGCAGGGAATTAATTCTTCACTTTGCTTGTTGGTGCAACCTTTTGCTTTCCATATTAATATGTTATTATCTTGATCCACAAGCCTTCCCACCTTCTATTTTCTTACCCTGAGGGAGAGCGATCAACAGTTACTGCTGCTGCACCAGCACAAATGCTGCCACCAGCTCAAAAGAAGCTGTTATTCCCCAGCAGTCAGCATCTGTGATGCTGTATCCGAGTACTGCATACTGTTCCCCCACCCCTGCACCCAGGACATGAGATACTGAGGAACCAGGCAATAAAACAGCTGGACACTTCCTAGATTAGGGGGCTGGCACACAGCATACATGGAAAAGCTGCACAGAACTGAGCTTGTAATTCTGGAAGACTACTGGGGGAAGGGGAACTGAGCTGGGGTGTGTGTCTAATTGCTGTCCTCTCAATAAAACCTACTTAAGTCAGCTGAAGACAGAAGCAGACTTCTCAGAGGTACACAACAAAAAGATGTGAGGCAATCGAGAAGCTGCAGCACAGGCAGTTTCAGAGATAAAAGAGGCAGTAGTGAGCCTGTTGCTGGAAGAGGTTAAACACAGGAAACAATCTTGCTTCAAGAAAGCAGAAACTTTGGAGGTCTTCAAGATTCAACTGGACAAGGCTCAGAGCAACATGATCTATTTTGATATGAGCCTGGCTTTGAGCCAAGGGTTGAACTAGATGACTTCTAGAGGTTTCTTCCAACTTAAAATATTCAATGTCGGTGTAACGGAGCATTCCTGTACTTTGACTACTGTATAGTGATGCTGTATAGGGATATCCCTCCTGTTAAACCCAGCGTGGAGCTTCATGACAGGCTCAAACCAATTCAAGACTGGCTATCAAAAGTTGTCCCACCACCTCCCCAGCACTGCTACTAATGTGGCTATACTTCCCTTCCTCCGACACACAGCAGAATGTGTTAGAAGCAACAGGGGGTAATGTGCTGCAGAATTAAGTATTCAAGGAATAGAGTAGGCTTGTCAGCATCAATCTAAGAATGCCATCATTAGCTAATGTCACAATAAAAGACATTTTTTATAAACCTGCAAATTTCTATATATGGTAGCACTAGTTCTCATACTCTATGCTGCAATGGAAGTTCAACATCAGTATGTTAATATAAATGGAAAACAGATACCAGTACAAAAGTAATTTGTTATTATGACACCTGAAGCGTTTATAGACCAAAGTAACACTTAAACTGTAAATACTCAGTTATGCACAAATAGACGACAAAAGTGTAAAGATTAGCTTTATGCTTTATTAATGAAATTATTATAATTTGCTTTGGGTCACTACTTTTATTTAAACTATTTGAAGAATGTATAAACCCCTGCTTTCAACAGCAATCTTAGAGACATTAATAAGTATTAGTACAATATTTAATTTACATAACCTTGTGAAGTGCTCATTCTGCTACACATTTGCCACATTTGACTAACCCAGCAGGTCAGTGTCAAGGCTAGTAACAGTATCAAAATTGATTTATTTTGTAGTACACTTTCCACTCAGTTTTTCCCTGAGTCAAGATATTGATTCTCTTTGGGTTACAATTCACATATACCAAATAACTTTTATTCTCATAAAAGCCCTCTCTGTAACATAACCATAAACACTCATAATAAATATTAAAAAAAATTACAATATTTACTACAGAATACTTAACATCAAGTTCTAGGAAGTTTTTTTTTCCCCCTTTAACTGCATGTTACAATGCCTGAAGCTTTCCTAAAATCTTTGCAAATTATGTAAGAAAATGACACAAATTACACATTACTCACTGTCCCATAGCAAAAGAAGATTCATTATTTCTGCATGGATGCATTAGCAAAATTTACCCCTTTATCTCAGTGTGAATAAGTTGTGCATGCAGCAAATTGAGAACTAACTGGTTTAGGAACTTTTAGACAGGAGGAAGCAGCATTAAATATTTCATGTGACAGCTGCATTGCCAGAACTAGCTATACTGTCACAACCAAACCCCACCCAAACTTAGACTTGTTTGTATATTCCTCAATCATCTGGTAAAGGATGCTATTTATTGCCTACTACTGAAGTGTGATACTTGACTTCATCCTCACTACTGCAAATAATTTAACAGTCTTATTGGCTCAGTTACTATTTATGGATTACAAAAATATGTTAATAAAAAGACAAGACAGGTCTGCTCAAACTAGAAGAGCAGCAGTGTATCAGTCCTGGATTTGAAAGAATGGCTAGCATTGTTTTGTTTGCTTAGTTTCAAAGTCTAAGCTAACTCTTAGGTCATTTGACAAAAAGTAATAACTGATGAGTATTTTCATCTCTCTTGCACACCTTGTGCACTCCTCAAGAAAAAAAAAAAAAAAAAAAAAAACACACACAAAAACCCCCAGGGCAATAGATCCTATGAAAAACCAATTTAAAGCACAGAATTCTAAAATTTTATTCACATAGTTCAGTAGAACTAAGTTCAACAAAGCCTAATGCTTTTACTACACCTGTGTGCCAGAAAACAGGCAGATCTTTATGCTTCTTTATGCAGACTGACAAAGTGTGGAAGCAAAGCATGTACAGCTTAATCAGCACAATTTAATCCATGAAACAGCAGAACCATCATTTTCTCCATAGATTCTACTACAATCTGAAGGGTCTTCTGCCTTAAAGTTCAGTAATCAGGCTCTATGCTCACCCATTGCTATCTCACAGGCAGCATTGGTGCTATCTACAGCAGTCATTTACCTGGATCCAGCATGAGTTCTGATAGCACTCAGTGAATTTATACCTAGCACACCAACCCAGGCCTATGACTTGCTCTGCTGCACCATCCACACAGAGTTAATCTGAGGCTCAGCTAAATAGAAGGTTCTAAATTTGTACTATAATTCTTCTCTCAAAGACAATTTTCAACTTCAGAACTAGAAAGAAAAATCAAAGCATCTTCATGATCAAAGCCAGAACCAAAGAACAACATTTAGTCGAGCAACATTACATATAGCACTCTGAAGGAAATGAGTAGGAAGGGCTAACAAATCTCAATTAAATTTAAGAAAATCTAAAGCAAAAATAATTATTTGGCCAGTTACACAAGAACTTAATAAAAAATATATTAAAAAGACAGACTCGGTTGGACTTTACGATCTTAAGGGTCTTTTCCAACCTATGTGATTCTATGACTCACTACTATGAAATTGTAGCAAAAATAATTTTAGACAGATTCAGTATTCTTCTAGTTCCCAAATGGAGTAAGTCTGTGTTTAAAAAAGAACTAAGTATTTTATAATTTGATTAAAAGTAACAGGTCAGCAAAAACGTTACTTTAAACTACTGGGTGTCTCATGATTCATTATCCCACACACTGCCTACATAGCAAGCATTCCAGAACTACAAATTTCTGGAACAAATGTTTTATGCACCCAAGCACAGAAACTGCCATTTGTGAGTGCTGAAAACTTAACAGTAACATTTCTAACTTGTGAAGCATTTGCTAATTGCTTACTGAAGAAAGTAATCAAACAGCAAAAACAAAAAGCAATGCAAAATTCAAGTTCAGAGTGTCCCTCTTTGGAGGAAATCAGCTGTCAAGTACAACAATTCCCAACAACATAAATATACTCCTTGCAATAATAACACAGAAAAAATATGTAGATTAAACTTGGTGGAAACAAAAAAAAAAAAAACAAACAAACAATATTAGATTAAGAGCTAGATAAAAACTGAGGAGTAGAACAGGTCTGGCTTTCAACGACCAAGTCATACAAAGGAACAGAATCCTCATACCAGTACAATACTCTTGTATGTTGCCAGACAAGAGTTCAAGTACAGATAAGAGTAATTAACGTAAAGCTTTCAGTAGATGCTTATGAGCTTTTCAGATTGCAAATGACAGACTTGCACCAGATTAACTTAGAGACGCGTGCAAATTTTAAAATTAAACACACTGACCTGTAAATTTCTGGATTCACCTAAAGTCCTCTCCCCACCAATCTCCTATCCATTCTTCTGTCAGATGTTAGTATTTCACAGTAGAAGGCAAGAAATGAAGAGTGCCTGTTCCAGTGCTGCCAGTGGTTACAGCACAAGCTAAACGCCCACCAATTTCTATGGTTTCTGTTACAGGGCCATTAATCTCTGACAAAAACACATGACAAGTAGCTATCTTGAAAGCATATCCTCTTACACTGATCACCTCTCAACACACTACCAGACATGAGACATTAAAATTTGAGATGCTAATCATTTTACTATATTCAAAATATATCAATGCCAGTACAAGAAATCCACAGTGGAAACCTACTGGTAAACATCCACCAGACAGGTTAACCACTAAATGAAACATCCTCCGACACCAGCACCCACTCTGTTCTGTGTTCCTGCAAGATTTGTTTTGCTTTCTGCCCTCACTCTACCTTTTTGAAGCCACCCAGCTGTTATGCTTCTTATCAACATCTTGTATTATTCTAATCCTGGGGTAGCTGCTGCCACTGACAGAGTTTATGTTCTTTGTCCCCTTCCCAACTCTCTTCATATAGGCAACCAAAGATTGACAGTACTCATAAGGTGGCTCAAGTCTTGGAATTTCCATATCTACTGGAACTTGAATGTGC